AAGACACGTTTTTTTTCACTAATAGCAGCCTCACCATAAGTATTTGAGAGCATTCGAGCCTCAGCCGCAGATTTTTTCATATTGAAGCAGAAAATTAAAACCTCCCGCAAATGACGAGAATTTTGCCTGTATTCATAGTCAGGCCTTATATTTAAGATCTCCTTAAGTTCATCTTCAGATGCTCTACGGATCATTTTATTGGCTACAGAGTATCTGAAGATGAACTTAAGGAAGCCTTAAATATAAGGCCGAAATACGGGTATTTGACTCGTAAACTGACATTTTCAATCGAGAATAACTTTATGACGCAGACACAAATCAACTAATGTTTCTATGGGGTTATGTTGACAGATGCCCAAGTTTATTGTATGACGTCTATGATCTATTTATTTCGACCACCATTTACCGCTAAAGCCATCTATAGGAAAACTGCGGAAGCAAAGTTGTACACCTAATATCTAGTATTTCAATACTCATGGTTCATTTTCGGGTAATTATGTATAAGGCCTTTTTTGAATTTTGATATTTTTTTGCAGCTCTTTTAGTAAAAATATTTATTTTGACTCCAATATTGATCATCAATTGAGGGAATCTGAAAAATATACAAGTTATATATTGTTTTAACTTTTTTTTTTATTTTTGTTTCACTTGTCGAACGTTGCTGCTTTCCCACAATTTAAACAAGTTACTGATCTTTTAATCACATTATGCAACTGCAATATCGAACGACTAACGAGGGGCTGCGCCCCCGCATCCCCCCTCAAAACTAACCTAACCCAATCTATCGTCACATTAACCGTCAGTCAGTTTACTAGTGTTCAACTTTTTTTCTTAATAATTTTTTAATTGTAAGCAAATTGACCACAGTAGATTATTTTTAAAAATAATGGCAGTCGTAAAAATTAGTCGTAAAATTCTTTTAAAAAATAATCGACTGTGATTAGTCAATTTGCTTGCGGCTTTTAATTAATAACTTATTGTAGAAGGCTCATAGAAATCCAGTTTTATAGTTAATTAAAAAAATTTGCAATACTTTACTCGAGTTTCGTCACGCATTCGCATTCAATAAAATTTATAATTATTATAATAGAATGTTCTTGAACACATCTGTGTGACAATCTTGACGAAATTAGGAGATTCAGAAACAATACTATATAACTATAAAAAAATACTATAACTATAATAAAAAAATATTAATAATCTATTAATATTAAAATAACTATGTAATTTTTATTATAATTAAACTTTCTTTTTTAAAGTTGCTTTCTTCTTTACATTTGTTTTCTCTTTTACAACTGTCTTTTTTGCGATAGCCTTCTTAGTTACAGGTCTTCGTTTATTAATATCTCGAAATTTTACGTGATTATTTAAAAAATAATAAAGGTCTTGAGTGCTCAGGTTCACATGCTTTACTTGCACACTTGTGTCAGATAATTACAAATATATTTGGTTAGAGATAAGTTTTCTAATTTTGCAAAATATTTAAAGATTTGATCAATGGCATTAAAAACCAAGTAAAATAGATTTGAAGATTTTATTAAGAAGAGAATAATCTCTTTTATATGTTTGTATATATAGCCCAAATGGATTAACAGACCGAGTACTGATATTTGCTACTCGAGGTATTTCTTTTTTTGCCTTTTGTAATCTCTTCATTTTTAGCAGATGCCTCGAATTTTTCTTGTACTTCCAATGCCTTTTTCATCAAGTCGCCCTTAAATATTTCATCCGTGGGATTAAGAGCATAAGATTGATCAGGCTTATTTGCTTCTTGTGCCATTTTCTGCTCTATTCTATTCATGTATTTGCCAGCTGCTTTCTTCGACAACGATTGCCGATACTGAAATGTCATTTATTACAATAGGCATAATATCGCGATAAGAAAAATAACTTTGCCGTAGTTCATTCTTGAGAGGTAAAAATTTTATAATACCTTGGCAGGAGAAATATAATGAGGATTTTCCCATAGGATGTCACCAGTAAAACTTGCTGCAAATATCTTAACTGGGTTCAGTACAAATCTTGGGCCAATTTCAGCCAATGCACCATCTTCAGTTAAAATTTGAAAATTTCTGAACCATATCCTGTTGTCAAGAATACTAAATATATACACATGATCATAAAATGGCTGGCTCTTAGGATGATGATATGGTACACCAAATATTTGTATCAATAGCTCCTTCAAAAGACTGTAATGCGCATGTTTAGTGAACGATTCATCAAATGAGAGTAACGGTCGAGATCCTTTTAGACAGTTTCCAGTCATCTTCAGTTCTCCCATCGTATAAACTGTAAAAATATATCAGATACAATTATTTTCCAAATCAATCTTATGAATTTCAATACATAGATAGAATACATACTGTTTTCCACAAGAAATTTTATACTTGGACCAGTAGGTACATTAGCAAACCACATATAAAGGTCCCGCTTCAGCCTGCCCTCAAACAGAATGGCTTTATTGCAATTTTTTATCTCACACATTTCAGTCACCACTTGTAGAGTCTTTGTACGTTCCATCTTGCACTCGGACCGATGATGTGGCATAAGTGTTTTCAAATCTCCCATAAGATGCCGATGTCTATGACTAATACCTCGAGTAGCAAATATCAGTATTCGCTGTCTGTTAATCCATTTGGGCTATATATACAAACATACAAAAGAGATTATTCTCTTCTTAATAAAATCTTCAAATCTATTTTACTTGGTTTTTAATGCCATTGATTAAATCTTTAAATATTTTGCAAAATTAGAAAACTTGTCATATCTCTAACCAAATATATTTGTAATTACCTGACACAAGTGTGCAAGTAAAGCATGTGAACCTGAGCACTCAAGACCTTTATCATTTTTTAAATAATCACGTAAAATTTCGAGATATTAATAAACGAAGATTAGCGAATCAATGTGTGTTGTAATAAGCTACATAAGTGCAAGCTTATCCAAAAGGTTCACGTGCGTCACGCCTTGTGTCAGATTCTATATAATTACAAAGATGTTGACCATTATATTGCCAAACCACTATCAAAACATATGCTATTTTATTAAGATCTTAAATTAATTAAAAAAATTTTTTTTTCATGTCTATTAGGTTAATCTGCTTACCTTTGTAGTGGCGGGTTCATCCGACGTTCTTTTTGCCGGCATTACTTGTGCATCGTTTTCTTCATTTCGTTTTCTCTTCAATCTATGCTTCAACGACATTATCGTTCTTTAAGAATTAAATGTATATGTAATTGAACAAAATAAAAATTTTCTTCTTCACTATATTTTACTTGGCTTGCAGACTTTCTCAAATAGCCCTTTCTACCAAGGTACCGAAGTATAAGTTCCAAAAAAATATTAGGTCCGAACTTGGTCGGACACGTCTAGTCGTAACGGCGGTTAGGTTAGAACTTAAATGAAAATTTTCTTCTTGAAACGACGCGTATACACACGTGCTTAGAGAATCTCAAGAGAATCGCCAACTTGGTCACGTGACCAGCTCATTGGCTGGCATAAATATATACGAATTTAGACATTGCGACGCCAATGCAGAACAAATGCTTATATTTATATATATGGTTTTGCATCGGCGTCGCAATGTCCAAATCCGTACATGTTTATGCCAGCCAATTGCAGAGTAGCTGAGTAGGTGGTCACATGACCAAGTTGGCGATTCTCTTTACTAAAGGTTCTCTACACGTGCTTCGTGTTCACTGAAAGGCTGCGTTCCGAAATTCACTGCCAGTACTGAAATTCTAGTAGTATACGTAAAGCTGGTGGTACATAGAAAAACTTAAGCAGTAAAGCCTATTCTACAATTGCGTGAACGCGGTTGTAAGGGTTGTAAGTGATTACAAGGGACGTCTACATTGGAAGTAAGCAGTAAGAAGTAGGAAGTAAGAGTAAGAAATTGACCAATCACAGTCGAATGTGAGAAGAATAATTAACTATGATTGGTCAATTTCTTACTCTTACTTCCTACTTCTTACTATTTACTTCCAATGTAGACGTCCCTTAACTCTACTCGATTTATCGGACAGCATTGAGTTGTCATAAATCATGAAAATACTAGATGCTTGTGCCTATTATATTTCTCGGCCCTAATGAAACTAACTCGTATTAACTCCAACTCGAATTATCGTAAACACCCAATATGAGTCTGTTTTCTATTGCTGAACTGGCTGCGCTATTTCTTTCTTGTCTTTCTTCCACCAACTTTCATCTGTATATCTACCTCTTTTTAAGTTCCGAAAGTGTACTAGTTCAGCAATAGAAAACAGACTCTATATAACGGAGTCAGCAGTCTAGTATTATATAGAAGTCTGTGATACCTATGGGCCTATGGGCCTATGGGCTTCTCTCTGCTTCTAGTAATAAAATCAAGTAACGTTAAAATAAAACACGTTAAAATAAAATCTAGTAACGTTAAAATAAAACACTATCGACATAGCAAATAATCGATTTTGAAAATGTCGGAAAGATAGTCGACTTTCTAAAAAGTCAAAATCGAACATCGATTCATCGATTCATAATTCTCCATCTTTAATTGGCTCAAAGCAGCAAACTTTCGTCAGTTAGCAACATGGCGGATCCGTTGAGTCTGCTGCGGCAATATAATGTCAATAAAAAGGAGATAATTGAACGTGAGAATCAGATTATATTTGGCGAGTTCTCTTGGCCCAAGAATGTTAAGACAAATTACCTAACTTATGGGTAAGTGTTCGTCTAGCTAACGTTGAAATTGTTCTTTATAATTGCAATCTGCTTGGTATCTTGAAGAGAGAAAAGGAGAGTTGGACGCGTGTGTGTGTGAGAGAGAGAAAGAGAAAGAGGGCAGAAACTGTGTCCATGTGCGTTTAAGGAACTGTATGATAAACAATTGCATTTGATATTCGACATTCGATAGTTAGATGAAGATCTAGAAATTTTCTTAAAAATATTTGTGAGTATTTTTTAATGTTTACATTTCTGTTCTTTAAAACATGTGACTGACTGATTACAATTTATAGTTGATATTGATTTTAAGATATATGAAATGGATCTCTGAAACTGAATTTGTTTATAATTATATAAATATATAAAATTTTTCTTCTTTCAAATAATCCTTTGATTATTTCTAAATTGTTGTCCCACAGTATCTACTTTGAAGTATGTCGAGTCACTTCCTTGTTGATATTTTAATCTTTGCAAACTGTTATTGTGAAGCTGTTATTGTGATTTTATAGAGTTTATAAAGTTTAAGTTGTAATATCTTAATTTGGTTTTACAGTAGATCCATGTTGTTTGTTGTTATATCCAAAAAAAGACATTAGAAATACTAGATTAGATACATTTGGTTAGAAACATGTTTATTCACAAGTTTGTTATTTTAATACAATCAGGTTGTACTTTTTGTCTTTAAGGTGAAACAAGTATATACTTGTTAAAGGCAAAAACTTAGTATTGAAAGGAACAAAAACAAATTTCCAATACAACATTAGTTTAACTGAAAAGAACAGGACTTAGATTAGATCTTGACAACATATTAGAGCCATTAGATTAGAAACATTAGAAATATATATTTTTAGCTGAACTACTTATACTATTTGTCTTTGGAATGAAACAAATATCTAATCTAACATTGAAGGAAATAGGAACAAAGTTTCAATGCAGCACTAATTGAGCTAAAAAGTACAGGCCTTAGATTAGATCTTGACTACATATTAGAGCCATTAAATTAGAGACACTAGATTAAAAAACATTAGATGTTTGTTCTCTTTAATTGAACTACGTTATACTTTTTGCCTTTACAATAAAACAAATATATAGCCCAGTTGAAGGAAAAAGAAACAAATCTCCAATGTGCGGTACTAGTTTAGCTAAAAAGAACAAACCTTAGATTAGATCTTAACAATATGTTAAAATCATTATATTAGAAACATTAGATTAGACTTTAACAATGAAAATATCTTTTACAGTATGTTCTCTCTTTGAGAAGAAAGATATTCATATGTCTTTTTTTGTCATTGATTTAGATCCGGCAGGGAAGGAACACCCAAGGAGTATTACACCCTCGAATGTCTCCTTTTTATGCTCAAACATGTTCAGCTCACACATCCAGTGTACGTACGGCAAGCTGCTGCGGAAAACATACCAGTTGTGCGTCGACCCGACAGGAAGGACCTGTTGGCTTATCTCAACGGCGAGACTGCTACATCAGCCGCCATAGACAAATCTGCGCCTTTGGAGATTCCGACACAGGTGAAACGTGCCGCCGAGGATGGCCTGGACAGTGGCTCGTCGAAGAAACCGCGTTTTGAAGAGACCCATGTGCAGAAGGTGAAGGAGCAGCTGGCGGCGCGTTTAGACGCGCCGAAGGAGGCGTCAGTCACCGTTGACAACATCAAATCACTGTCGGAGGCGATGTCCGTCGAGAAGATCGCCGCGATCAAGGCGAAGCGCTTAGCTAAGAAGCGTACCACGATCAAGGAAAACGACGACATCGGCATGGGCTCGGATCTGCGCGTGATCCTCGACATGGACGTGGACGACACGAAAGACATTGTGTCACGGGAGCGTCAGTGGCGGACGCGCGCCACCATATTGCAGAGCAGCGGCAAGATCTTCGCGAAGAACATCTTCGCGATCCTCCAGAGTATCAAGGCGCGCGAAGAGGGCCGGCAGAAGGGCCCGGCCGTGCCCACGCCGATGGTAACGCCGCGCTCGACGCCGATGCGCCCGCTGCCGCAACCGGCCGTCTACAATCGCTACGACCAGGAGCGTTTCATCCGGCAGAAAGAGGAAACCGAGGGCTTTAAGATCGACACCATGGGCACATATCACGGCATGACGCTCAAGTCGGTGACCGAAGGCACAAATCCGGCCGTGAGGAAACCACCGACCAATCCGTCCACCACGCAAAACTCCGGTCTGCTGCCTACCTCCGCCGCCAAGCTCACACCCCAGCAGGCGGCGCAGAACAAACGGCCGAGCAGGACACCCATCATCATCATTCCCAGCGCCAACACGTCGCTCATCACCATGTATAACTCCAAGGACATTCTACAGGATCTCAAGTACATCAGCAACGAGGACAAGCGCGCTCAAGGCTGCAAGCGGGAGAACGAGGTGCTGCTGCAACGCCGTAAGGAGGGCGGCCTGACCGTGCCGTACAGGGTAGTCGACAATCCACAGAAACTCACCAACGCCGACTGGGAGAGGGTCGTCGCAGTCTTTGTGATGGGACCGGCCTGGCAATTCAAAGGCTGGCCGTTCGATGGTAATCCAGTGGAGATCTTTTCGAAAAGTACGTGTTCGAAAAGTATTGCTACGTTATGTACGTCACTCTTGATATTTTTTGAAGCGGAATCTCGCTTGAGACGAGTGAAAAGTTACAGTATTTTTATTCAGAGCGATAGTGAAAGTACCGCTACTCGAGCGTCTATGTGAAGTTAGCCCCTTATTTTCAAAATTAAAAAGAGACGGTTAGAGTTCTGATTGTTCCTTTACTCTTTTCGTATAGTTCTAGAATTTTTAATCGATTTTATAAATAATTCTGACGATTAAACTAGTCAAAACGTTATTTGAAAACAAGGGAAAACAACCAGATTCATATTTTTGAGAAATTAAAAATCGCCATAACTCTTTAATTTTAGCGGATTGAGTATTAAAGATAATTTGTAGAACTCTTGGGAGGGGCTATCCATAACTCTAAAGAAAAAATCGAATTAAAAAAAATTTTTTTTCATTTTTGGAAAAGTAAATAAACTTCTTTTGTTTTTGGTTTTAGTTGGTCGAATATTAAAGATAATTTTTAGAACTCGTGAGGAGCTACTTAGAATTCTAAAGAAATTACCGGATTTCCCGAAAAAATTTGTGGGAATTTAGAATTTTTGAAGTGAATCACTAGAACTCCGCAGTTTTCAATTAAGTATAATCTTCAAAACTCGTAGGGGTTATTCAAACATCTGTCTCTCATTTTTTAAATTCGCATTTTGACTATTTTAACCGCCGAAATTAGGAGGCCATCAGATCTCTAATCATTTTTCCTTTTAATTTCGAAAAATAGCTAATTTCACATAGACTACTTGAGAGAGAGAAAGGGGGGGGGAGGGGGGAGAGAGAGCTTTAAAGTGAATTCTAACTTTATATCAGCAAATCTTTCACTCGATTAGAATGAACGTATATCTGCGACAGTAGAGTATACCAGATTCACTTTTCAATCTTGAGCGGGAATATTTACTCGACGATTCCAAGTGAAAAATTCGCGGTATGCGAGTGAAAAATTACTCTAATTCGAATAACTCGGTAGTTACAGCTTTTTTGTTTGAATGAACTTTCACTCAAGAAATTTGGAAAGTAGTGGAGATATAGTGTATCTCGCAAAAGATATTAGGTTGGCGCGCAAAAGCTTCGTTGTGTTTGTCAAATTAAATAAGATAGAATTATCCAAAGAACTCGGTATTTTTTTGGACATTTAACGAAGATATCCTATCTCTCTCTATTATTATATTCATACATTATCATATTATTATTAATATATAATTATATAAATTACACGAATAATACTTATATAACTTATATTTTTTATATAAATTCTTATTGTTTTCCTTTTAATAGTCAAACTTCGTATGAGATTTTAATAGAAAAATGACGAATTTTTATCACCAACCAAAAAGATGATTATTCTACATCTCATATAGATGATTATTTTTGTGCAATAGGAAATTCTCCAGACGTGCATCTTCTTTTCTGGTGTTATAAATAATGCTCTGCTTTAAATTAGCTAGTTTAAGCCTTTTATTACGTTACAACAGCTACATTCGTAATCACACTTGTAAGCTTTTCTCAGAATGAGGAAAATATAATTTGCATCGCTGTTGCACTCGCGTCCCGTGACTTGTTATCGTAATTTTCAATGTGCGCGGTTGTTATTGTTCTCTTTTTCTTTGTAGTATGCGCGTTTCACTTGAAATACGATGAGATGAGGTTGGACGCAAACGTAGCCCGTTGGGCAGTCACAGTAATCGAATTGAGTCGGACAAAGAGGCACTTGGACAGAGCGGCGTTAATGATATTCTGGGAACATCTCGACAAGTGAGTACTGGAGTATATCTCTATAATTTTCTTATCACTTGCACGCACATACACACACACACACACACACTTACATTCTTTTGACGTAATCCTTTTCACTTCTTACAATTTTCAAGTAAGCTTGTGTAAACTTGTTCTCACTTTTTCATCACTTTACTTCTTCAACTTCCTCTTTTTGCAAGTGATTGCTTTGTTTAACTACGTTTTACACTGTTGTACCTACTTTGATAAACGTAAACTCTGTTTTTACAGGCATATGATCAAGAACAAGCCACATCTTCGTTTCTAAAGTCTTGACGCAATTTGGACGCAATTGGACTCGCGGGTGTTCTGAGTATTTTTTAGGTATTTTCATAAAAATGAAGAAGGATTGTATATATAAAAGACAGGGAAAGAGAGAGGGAGCAAGAGAGAGAGAGAGAGAGAGTGAGAGAGAAAATGTAACATTTATGTATGTATATATATATATATGTATGTGTATAATTATATAGTATAAGTATGAATACGCGCCCTCAAACATACCACGTGCAAATTTCGATTAACATAGACACGCTACTTTCGGTGACACCCGACCACTTAACGCCGAAAGTACAGAAGAGACCACCTTTTTTTAATCTTAATGGATTAAAATCGTAATTGTAATAATTTTTTTAGATTATAATGAACTTAGTAGTGAGAATTTCTCCATTCATTGTTTAAAACGGGCTTCATTCGTCGTCGTCTTTATCATGAGATCCATCATCCATTTGTGATTCAGCGCGTGCTCTAAAAGACTATTATGTCTCGTAGCAGCGATTACATTTAGTGCGAACTGATGTGCCTGTTATCATATAATTAATAAAAACATCGAGATACACGAACATTGCGAATCTTCTATCCCGAAGGATACAACCGAGCTTACCCGTACCAACGGGATTGTGCGACGTCGCGGGCAGAGAGGGAGAAAATACGCGCCAATTATACCGCGAAACTTTAGCGGAGATTTTAGCGTTAACTCTGGGAAAGTAGCTTGAGTAACTTGCACTTATGCGAAAAGCCTTAATCCTAAAAAAGAAATAAGAAAGACAGTGATAACTTATGGTACAATTAAAATAAGGATGAGCAATCTTTATTCGTTCAAATAACATCTCGCAAGAAAGCAGTGGTATCCATTTTAGTCAGCGGTGAAATAAATACTAGAGCTTAAGGCTTTCAATATGAGTAAAAAGTCACTCGTACCATCTTTCTGAGAGACGCGCATAGAGAAAGAGAGAGGATGTTAAACAAATATTCGGAAAATTATATGTGGCAAATGTGTGAAGTCTGGGATTTGCGATGTGCGCGTGACGAATGTGATCGTCTTCTGCATTTTTTATTCGTCTTGGTAGATATAAGCGAGCTAAACTACGTAAACTACGAAATGGAAATATCTTGCGGTGTTGATGAAGTCTCCTCGAGCGATTCTTCGAGCAGGCGAGCGAGTGAGCAAACGGGGATTACATTTCGACGGTCGATAGCAGTGTTAAGTTTCTTGGTGCGTGCTTTGTAATTCGAGACGCGACGCCGCGAATCCTTTCCCGGGGGAGCAAGAATCCAAGAAGGGAAAGAGGGCGAGACAGAGAGAAGCCGTGAGGGATCGAGGACGGTGCGGCACGAACCGCCGTGTTTTCTCTCCTACTAAAACCAAAGCCAAAGTAAATCGCTCGCGGCGGCTTCGAGCGGGACGCGGGATTGACCGGCCAAGCATTGTTTATACGGTGGATCGAATATTTCTAACTAGATTACCGTCGCCCTATTACTTCGGCAAATACGACGGATTCTGCCCCTCGTATCTGCCGTGATCCCGCCTCTCTCGAGTAGAGAGAAGGAGAGGAAAAGCGCCGCGCCTTTCGACTCAATTATCGCGACCACATTTTGTCGCGCGGAAAATTGAATAACGCCATTTCTCCCCCCCCCCCCCCCCCCCCC